CCTTTTCCTTTTCCTTTTCCTTTTCCTTTTCCTTTTCCTTTTCCTTTATTCACTATATTACTTGTGCTTTGTAGTCAAAAGGATCTGGAGTTGAGTTACTTCAACAGCCAAACCATAAGTTCCACTTAAGCTCCTGTGTAGTAGGGGACACTTTGCAGAAATGATGTCTAGTTTTTGTTCGTCGCCCTTTTAATGTGACAAGGATAGTTTATACAAATAATGTTTTTAGTTGGTTGAAATACTGATTTCACTAATGTGCTTTCCGATTTTCTGCAGATAAAGCATTGGTTGTCCATGTGCTAAGTGCACCACTCTGTCTGGATGTCCTACTTTTATAAACAAAAATGTTAGTACTTCAAGTGTAAAGTACAAATCACTGCTGAAGTAGATCTTAAACTGGATTGCTTTTTACTGTTTTGATTAGATCTTATTCTCCTTCAGAATTTAGTAAAAGTTTTTCAACTACTTGTAAGAAAAATACTGACCTAGATATGGTTCTGAACTTTGATTGGTGTCATTGCACGCAGCTGTACAGGGATATTGAAGGACAAAATTATGTTTTTATTTAAACTTAAAGCAAGTGAGCTGAACTTCTGGAAATAAAAATTATATTGGTCTATCTTCCAAGTTCTTTTTTACTATTCGTTTTTTTAGAAACATTTGCAGGAACTTACAACCAGTTGCAGAATTGTGTGTTAGGTTTGTTTGGTCTTGAATAAGTTGTTTCAGAAGAAATTTATCTCTCTATTGGGAAGTTAAATTATAGTGTTTATAGAGCATTTTTGCCTGACTTTGTTTATTTTAAAAATAAATAAAACCTTTTCCACACAAACTTTGCACAGCAGACCTTGTGGTAGAAATGCTACCTGTGTGAAAATATATCAGCAGGGTAGTTTCAGCCAGCCAAACTTCCGTAGCATGTTTCCTGCCCTAAAGCAATTTTGTCATCCTGTTCACCAAATAAAGCAGGTACCCTGAAAAGAACTCCATCATATTACTAAAGTGCATGAACATGGTACCCAGGAGGCCTGCCTGGAGACTATGTAGATGATGTCAATTTTGGTATTTTTGATGTTGAATGATTGGATCTGATAAATGGAATACTTTATGTAGATTTATTGTTAATGTTATTTTTGTTATCTTTAATTTACATTTAGTCTCCCCAGGGTTGGCTTGTCTCTCTGTTCTATCAAATAACTGTGACACTCAAGTGTCAAAATGTGGTGAGGATGACAAAGGGACTGGCTTGTACTTTACATTTTTCAGGGCTTTATAGAAGGGCTAGGCTAACAAGCTTCTTCTCCATGTGGTATCCTTAGCTGAGGACATTTGGTACATGTGCAGGATTTGGCTTCCATCCCCCTTCTCCATCAGGCTGAGCATGATATACACAGAAAATGACTTCTGGTTTGGGTATATCATAGTTATAGCTGTGCAGGTGCTTGACATTCTGGAACACCTTCTTCATCGTTCAAGTTACCTGAAGTTGATGACTTTCAGATTTGCCCGGAAAGCTGTGCATTTTCTGCTACTGTGACAATGGAAGTAAAATAGAGAAAAATCCAATCTTTTCCCAGCACTCATTTTGTCGTGAAAAATCTTTCAAAATTCTTGGGAAACCCTGAGCACTTTAACTAAAAGTAGAGCAACCCAAAGAAAAAGCAAATGTGGAGAACACAATTCCCTGTTGAGGAACTCAGAGTGGCTCAATTAATACCAAATGGCCCTTTTCTTCCTGATAGAAAAAGATAAGGAACATGAGTTAATCCAGGCCAAAATCAGTGTTTAAGATTCTGCTAGGATAACTGTTTTAATTGAAAATGTTGAAGAACATTTCGAAAGAAGTCATCAGACTTGATTTGTTTGTATAACATAATTGACAAAAATTCTCTACTTTAGAATCATAGAATCATAAAATGGTTTGGGTTGGAAGGGACCTTAAAGTTCATCTGGTTCCAACCCCCCTGCCATGGGAAGGGACATGTTTCACTAGACCAGGTCGGTCAGAGCTCCATCCAACCTGGTCTTAAACACCTCCAGGGATGGGAGGTGGAATAATCTTTGATCTTCTTCCAGAAACATATTGGAAATTGGGATGAAAGAAGAGTTTTTGTCTTCCTCTAAATACCAACTGTGTGAATTATTAGTAATGTGAAAGATCACTCTGTATGTCTGGTACTCTTATTAATTCTAAGTGTGTTCCCACATGGCAATTATATTATTAATTGATTTACTAAAGCTTTGTGTTTTAGGACATGTATTTTGAATAGCAGAGAAAATCAATCTGTTGGCAGCACACTGCCAAGTTGATCTATTTTGTTACATTATCCTAAAAAGCTACTTTAAATGAGCTTCCTTCTGCTGCAGACAGGTATCCAGCCACAGCTGGGTGCTTTTTGTGTACGAAAGGAGGAGTTCCTGCAGGCTGTGAAGGATTCCAGACTCTGTCCTTGGCACCTGTGGTGAGTGATGTTGTTGACCTCAGTAGCTGTAGAACCTCCAAGTTGAAGCCTGCTTGAGAGCAGAGCTGTTTACACCAGGGAGGACCTAAGTAGGGGAACTGTCAGGTCAATATGGAACAAGAGTAAAATAAACTTCATTGGTAAGTGGCTTTATAATGGAATAAGTCTGTGCCCTTTTTGCGATATGAAGGTTATTCCAAGGAAATCTCATTGAATTTAAACAAACAGCAAAGGATTTAACTGCATATGCCTTCCCTCTTACACTGCTAAAATGTGGTGCAGAGCCATATTCTCTGGTGGCCTGGGCTCTGTTCAAGCAAAATGTGTGTAAAACCATCGAGCTGCATTTACAGCATCTTGCGTTTGGAGAATTTGACCCTCCAGCACAACTTAACTTGATTTTTAGACCAAGAAATCTGAATTTAAAGGTGGCTTATTGATTACTTGTTGTTCTCTCAGCCACGTTAATTCTGTTATGCACCGGAATTCTCCACCAGTTCTGATTTTAAATTGGGTCAGAGTACCTACAACTGCAGGATAACATTGTTGTGTCTATACAACAGACAGGGATAATATCTCAGTACGAAGCTGCTGATTTGGTACAGAAGTGGTGTACAAAATGAGATCTGCACCACACAGGGAATTTTCCTGGGACTTAGTTTTCCTGAATGATAGTTCGTCTTAATGCTAGAAATAAATGTAAATTAATGTAGCATGGAGTTGGATCTGACAATCCCAGTCTTGAACAGCTGCTTCAAGTAACAAGAAATAAGGAATCACAGCAGGAGACTTCTGAATTTCATCTCCACTCTTTGCTCACCCATCTCAACTTGTAAGTCTGATTCTTCATAGATGATGGCAGCTGATATCTGGTCTGGGGTTTAGGTACAAAACTACCTTTGAAAATCCTGAAGGCAGCTGATAGAATTTTATCTAGACTTGTTTTTTGGATCCTAAATTTAAGCGTGGTTTTGAACGTCAACAGTAGAATCTGACCTCTGTTACACATAATCCAATAGCTAGAGATTTCATGGATTGTATTGGTTTTCATTTATGTCTTGAAAAGTTTATCAACTTACCAGCTTATTCATATTATCTTATGAATTTTCTGGGTTGCCTTTGTACACAGAGGTTTTCCTAACCTGAAAGTTTTTTTTCCTGTACAAATCATGCTCTTGTAAATTTTAGTAATGGTCATGTGAATTAGGGAGTTACTTTACCATTAGCTCAGTGAAAAAATAATATGGCCTTCATCTTAAGATTATGTGAGAGTCAAGTCTATGAAATAAAGTCATATAATGCCACATTAATAAAGGAAGTTCTTATCACCCTGGAACTGTCTGTTGCTGAAAAGGGATGCAACTGAGAGAAGGAATTGTACATGGACAGGAGCTGCAAAGCTTATAATCAGTAGCTAAATAGTGACTTTCCTACACAGGATATTTTCGGATGGAGAGGAAACTGTAAATTGAGACATGAATGTTGACTTCTGACAATATTCCCTTCAAGAGGAGACAGTAGAGATAATCAGGGACACAAAAACTGGAAATAAGATTTTGTGTTTGTAAAAGGAGAACATTCATACTCACCAAAGCGACACACGAAGAAGAGCTGGGTGTTTCAAATCCTGCTTTGGTCTTTAACCTAAATCTGGAAGACATCCTGCTTTATGTTTCCCAGTGGAAAACAGTTTCCAGTTTTCCAGCTCTCTGCCTCACATTCAAGCAGAGGAAACTCAGCCTGGGAAGTGTTGGGAGCCTGGCATAGGGTTCTGAAGTCCATAGCATGGAGCTGTACACTTTGGTCCTGCCATGCTCAAAGGAAAAGGACATCCGCATAAAAGTAAAAAAAAAAAAGTATTTATTTTTTTAGTACAATTACCATTTTAAGAGTCTACTTGTTAGTCCAGATTTAGTTATTGCAGAGAAAGAAATAATTATAATGCCATTAAAATTGTAACACACACAATCTTAGTTTTTATCCCTTTTCCTAGAGTTTTGCTCACCCTTTGGAGACTGAAGGTTGGTGGCTTCACTCTGGGGTTTGGTGTGTAGAGGAGTGTTACAGCATGTCATTTTGCCAGGAGGAATATAGTGTTTGTGTTGCTGGTTTTCTCTCCCAGGATCCACTTGGGGTCATTTGTATCTGTTTGCTAATACACTTCTTTCACAGTTTCAAGTTACTTTTTAGTTTGGTATAAATGGTAACTTTTTCCATGTTAGATACTATTTTTTTTGGTTTTTTGTCATGCCCAGCATCAGTGTTGCCTGGCTTCACCCATGCAGTTTTTTAAAACTGAGCATTAAGGAGCTGTGCTACACTTTGGGACCTCCACTGCCATCACTGGCCCCATCCCGTACCACTCCACACCACCTCTCTTACCTCCCTTGCTTTACCCATGCTGCCTCCTGTGTCCCCACTTTTCAGGCATCCACTCATATCAGAAGTGCATTTCTCTGCACTATGGCATTGTGTTACAGCCATAGTGTATTCTAATTTTCCCTGAACAGACTGAATAGCTGAGTTTCACTGACTGTATCCAGGATCCTGCTCTGTACTGTGCTTTGTATCCCTATTGGCAAGCCTACTTTCTGTGGAAAGCCTTCTTGATCCAGCGAGCCATTTACAGCAAATCTACATGAGTGAGCAGAGCAGAGCAGGTGCAGTAAGGGTGACACTGGAAATGAGTGGCTCAGCAATGAGGGGGCTGCTGATGGCCAGCCTGCGCTGCTCTCAGCACTATTTCTCTAGCCCCTTTGGCCTGCATCATCCTGGTTCTTTCTCTCCTCAGCTGTAACCATGGGCAACACAATTTCTTCACAGGATAATGCAGCTGAAACTCTAGCTCCTCATTTTTGTTGATGTTTGAACTCAGTTTTGAATTTGCATGCTTTGTCAATCAATAAAGCCTTATCCTATGAGGCTGTTAAAAGGAGAAGCTGGCAGATGACTGCTGCAATTCTCTGTAAGAGTGGTGAAGGCTGCAGGATTCTGTGCAGAAGGGAGGACTTGTCCAGCTTGTGATATATGGCACCACTTGCCTTCAGTTGATGATCTTCTGTGGCAACAAATTGCTTGTGCTTCTCTGCTTCCTTCCCACAGCCAGACTCTACCTTAGGGAATGGGCTCTTTGTCCTAGAAGCAATCAAAGGAGGCAGAGTTCTCACTAAGATGTTCAAAATTATTGCCTATTTTTCATATTTGTTTCCAACTGTTAATCTACCAGAGAGGTTTCTGCCTCGATTCGGCCTGCTTTGTAGGAGGTGATTCTGCCCACCAGATCCATAAATAAGTGTGGGAGAGGGGTGGGTCTTGTATCAATCAGACAGTTGCCATATTTCACATCTGGCTTATTAATACCAGCTTCAGCTAGTGGGACTTGAGTTTGATAGACAGTGAAACACGCTGCAGCTGTGCACTGTCTGCAGCACCACTCTCCTCCTTGTGCTGCAGCCACACAGGACTGGTGAGGATCTAATTAGGGAGCTAAACTCTCAAATTGCTAGTGCTTATCTAGCTGTGTCCCTATTCCCCATCCCTCCCTCCTTGAGCAAAGGGAGAACTGAAACAACTGTCTTGCTTATAATCTTAGTTCTGACATCTGTTTCTGAGATTAGCAGTAATCTTTCCTTCCTGTTTTGTGTATGACATACTCCTTATAAAGTCTGTGTCACTGCAGGAATATCAAGTGCTTGGAAATTATTTAAATCCCATGAATAACTGAAGTATTTAATAGTAATCTATGCATTTGTTAAATTTATAGGTGAGGTGCAACGGTATAAATAATTAATCTGGGGAGAGAACAACATTTAACAGTGTTTTCTTCCCTACTTACAGACTCACATTTTTCTCAGGAGAATACAACTTTATTGGCAAGAGGCACACTGGACACTAAACTCGCTTGTGAATTCAGTCCCTATTCTCCAGGTTCTATTGAGGAGGATGCTGAGGCAGCAGTATCTCATTTGTGATTGGCGCTGAAGTCTTTGTCTTCAGATTCTTTAGCTTGCTCATATCAGATTTGAGAATCAAGAATTATTCCAAAAATTCTTTTACCATCAATATGTCTTTGTAGTCATATATTTAAAAACATTTCTGTGAGGCCTTAAATTTGAGGAGAAATTTCTCAACTCTGTCTGCAGTTCTCTAAAAAAGATAATTGAAATACATTTTAAAATCTGTGATGATCCCCCTCCAAGAGCATAATGACAAGGGCTGATGAAAGGGAGCAACACTTCACAACCAAGTGTGTTTTCTCTCAGCTCGTGTTTACTGGAGGAAGTTATTTTGCAGTTAACAGGGGTGCTAACTAATACAGTTGATATATAACTATTATAATATATACTAATATATTTAATATGACTTATATAACTATTTCGTAGTAAGTTAGTTGCTCTGATCTAATTTCTCTGATGATCACTCTAACGATGCACAAGGCAATTTTCTCCATTTTCAAAGGAGAGCAAAACTCCTCACAATGATGATGCTCTCGGGGTTCAGGTGCACAGTCAAGATAATCTGTTTGTTTTAACACACTTTTTCATCACTGAAGCTCAGGGGTCTAATGAAAGTTGCATACCCAGCCTCTCTTGGTAGCTAATGGAAAGATTCCTTTACCTGTTGTTTTAGGGGACATAATTATTGAATCCTTAAAACTCAGATACAATTTTGGTGTTGTAAGATGCTCAGCATACCTCTGTCTGTTATTTCAGAGGGACGTAGTTTTCAAATCATTAAAACTTAAGCAAATAATATTGTGATGTTTTAAGGGAAAGGTTAATAGTTGTCCTGAAAAAATGCAAATATGAAAAGAAACCAAGTATGTGCATACATGTGTGACTGAGTTTGAAATCAAGATCTAATTTAATTTCAAACACTGACAACACTAACATCTTGCTAATTATGGCTTTTCTGTATCAAAACCTCATGCTAGCATATGCTACTGATACATTTTGAAAATACAGAACAGTCTGTTGCGAAAGCCTCTACTTCTGGGATGTGCACTATGTTGAAGCCTTGCAATGAGCAGATGAAATTATTATTATTATTATTATTATTATTATTATTATTATCATCATTATCACATAGTAATTGTGTGAGGTCTCCTGTTTCAAACAAAGTGTAGGGGAAGTGAATTGTGCAAGGCCACTAAGATGGTAATTAAAGTGAGGATTCATACGAACAGTTACTGCATTTGATAAGTGTGATTGCCTTCAGTCCTGTTCTGACCCATGAAGCTATTCAGGGCAGTGCTGAATAGCTGTGAATACAAGCTGCCAGCCTGTGTCTGGATAGT